ATTTTCTCAGTGGCGGCTTGCGAATATTTTTGCCAACTGGGGACAAAATTCCATTGCATTCACCGACATAGACAAGTTATTATTGATCAGCTGATCTTCTTTCAATTGTCAAAATGGACGGCAATAAATTCATAATTACAGTCCATCAATTTGGCTTGGACCTGTTAAATTCGAATTGGACCAAATACTGCGGACCCTTCGTAACTGAATGTTATATTTGTTCCAGTAAGACCGTTTGGATAATGCTAATAAAGTGGCTGAGGCCATACCTAAACGGGAATCCCTATAGACAATTTTAAACTTCAAGGATTGTCATCTGTCAAATCAAATGATAAAATTTCGTGGGTAAATGTGACTTGGATTATCAAAATGCCGAATATCGGTGGGTATCGATGTGCGCTATAGGAAAACGTGGACCTAAATATTCGGAGGTACCATAATGTAGAGGCTATACGAAAACTTTAGACTATATATACTATGTTCCGCCACAGGAGTTAGAACCCATTATGAACTACAAATACCAATTTTTAAACAAAAATCATCAAAATACCGAATATCGGGAGGTACTGTAATATAGAGGCTATACAAAAACGTGGACCTTTACATACAATGTTTCGCCACCGGACATAGAACTCGTCCATGGCAAACATCATCAAAATATCGAATATCGAGAGGTATCGTTATATGTGGGGGCTATACAAAAACGGCACCCAAGCATACAATGTTCCGCCACCGGAGCTAAGCCCCATTATAACCTACAAATATAATTTTTTATACAAATCCGTGAAAATATGTGGCGAAAAAACAAAACATCTCATTTTCAATACCAACTATCATAGATATAATACAAGTTGTTCTGCCAAATTGTAAAGCTCTACGTCAAATGACTTCAACAGACAGACGGACATCGTTAAATCAACTTAGAATTTTATACTTAATGGGGTCTACAACGAATATTTAGGGATTACAAACGGAATGACAAACTTAATATACCCTCCTTTTTAAGGTGGAGGGTATGAAAATTGACGACGATAACTAATTTTCCTTTCATCATATCGAAAAATGCCTTAGCTTACGTTTTGTACATCACGTTCTTCATAATAAATGTCAACGGTGTTGGAAATACTGTTCCCTGATATTTCTTTATTTTGACATTTGCAAAGCGAAAAAGTCAAGTATTTATTACAAGGCATGACCCATGGAGCAACAACAAAGTGTTTCTGCAAATTTTAAAAACCTGATGAAATGTCAAAATTTATTTACACTTTTTTGACTATTGTTTACATTTTGTTATGTAATTTCAATTACAATTATACATTTTGACATGACCCAAATATAAGATCCGCCTTACATCGTAGCTGAAATCGCAGAACAAGAAATAAGCAATGGCCAAAAAAGTATAAACAAATTTTGACATAAAATATGGTTTTCAAATTTGCTGGAACACCTTGTTGTTGCGCCATATCACAGGATGTGGAAACTCCTTTTGTGATTGAAAATATTGCGTCATGATTGTAACGTAACAGTACGTTTATATATATGAGGGTTAACCCACTGAATTTGGATTTAAATTGTCATATCCATTACTTTTACTTCAAATAAATCCTCTCAAAGTAGGTTAACCCATGGTACAATGAAGAGAAGGTAGGCCAAGTTTGAAAAAATTGCAAGTATAGAGGTCTACCTGTTTGGCTTGTAATGTCAGAATTAGTATCAAAACAATAAAAAAATCATACAACTTGTTGCATTTATTTTGAATAAATATTTGAAAACCGCGAAAACTGAATGAAAGGTCAACACTTCTTTTCAAAACCGGGTTCTATATATCTATAAAGGATTATTCCGCTACAAAAACTCTAGATTTTGTCGATGCATACGATGAAATAAACATTTTGAAAACATCCGAATTTGAATGTTTTCTGAACAATTATTTTGTTATTGAAAAGAAAACGCATACATAAACAAATAAAGATGACATATTAAGCCAAGAAAATGAAAAAAATTAAATCATATGGTATCATAGCCCTACCTTGATATCATTGTACCATGGGTTAACCCTACAAAAAGTTCTAACGTAAACATGGCATAAACAACTTTTAATATTTCTTCTAGCTTTGAAATAGTGGTAATTCTTGCTTGACCAACCTATTGTGTACACTACACTTTTATATTTCGATTACGATTTTGCTTTTGGTTTCCCCGCGCACTTTCGCCCTGTTCTGCAACAACCCAACAGGACAGTGCGCGCGCTTTAGAAGCACAACTTAACCACAATAACAACCAACTCATCTCACCTTACAGCCACATTGGAATTGGACACATTAGTCAAACTGGAATTTGAAATTTGAGCGAACCAAGATTTTTGTTCTTTGTTTCATTCATGGGATAATTACAGAATGTAGAACAAAGCTACCTCCTAAATACAATTTTTCCTTTGGGTATCCCTCATGGTAGAAGAATATAGGTAGATGCTTGGTACAATGAAGAGAAGGTAGGTCAACTTTGAAAAAATTGCAAGTAGTAGACAACCGCGAAAACTGAATGAATGGTCAAAATTTCTTTTCAATATCATGTTCTATATATCTCTTATGGTTTATTTCGCGACAAAAACTGGAGATTTTGTCGATGCATTCGTTGCAATAAGCATGTTGAAAACACCCGAATTTGAATATTTTCTGAACAATTTTTTAATATTTAAAAGAAGACACACACATAAGCAAATGAAGTTGACATATTAAGCCAGAAAAATAAAAAAATTGAAATCATATGGTAGTTCTGCCCTATCTTGAATTCATTGTACCATGGGTAGATGCATCAACGCTTAAGAATATTGATATGTCAACATTTTTAGAGTTTTTTTTTTTTGTTTTGAAAAATAAGTAGATTTTTATATATTTTCTTATTCGACAAAAATCGATGGTTGAAATGATATGTATTTTTCGACGATTTTTACAAATTTAAATAATTTTTCATTCAACATTTTCAATTTCAAGATTGGTTTGACAGTTCATTGTCCCAACAGCTGTTTGAATGCGTCTACCTATATTCTTCTACCATGATTGTACCCCTATTCTGTCAAAACATATACACAGTTTGAATATGTGTGTGTATTGTTTTGTTTTGAATAAAAAGAAAAATAATTTAAATTTATTTCAAATTTAGGGATAATATAAATGCATATTTTTCAGGTTAACGCGTAAAAAATGTATAATTTTGGGATAAAACAATATTTTCCTATTATCTTGGATTCAATTTTGTTCAGAAATCCCAATATTCCACTCAAGTTTTTTATAAACAAAACCAATTGTTGAGTATTTAAAAAGTCTATTTGACATAATAAGACTCCAGTACAGAGTTGCATTTTTTAGTTTCCTTGAAGTTGAGCAACCTATCTTATGGTTCCATTCAAATCACTCTCAGCACTTCGATGAAATCCGTAACAAATGACAGCATTTATCGAAGAAATAAATTATGACAATTCAAAATCGAAAATAGAAAAATTAATGATATTTTAAAATTTTACAGGAAGACTGAAAATTATGAATGAAAAATATAATGTTGAATGGAGTATGTGCATTTAAACGAATGCAAATTTCGTTTTTCTCTCATGCCAGGTACTCTTTTTGTCCACTAGTAGGAATTTCAACAGAAAACTGGAAACAAACGAGGCAATAATTTCAAAATGTTTGTATCGACAAAACATTTTTTGATCAGTGACTCTCCAACCGAATTTAAAAACAAAAAAAATATATATGTAAAATGTCAAAATTTATACAAAAAGTTAAGGGCTAAGTACATAAGAAGCTTGAAGTCATGGCACGGCCTATTTTGTGACATTTCACAAAGGAATTACAGAGCCGTACTAAAATCCTGCCGTCGTTTTTCATTATAATTTGACAATGACTTCAAGCTTTTTATGTATTTGCAGCCTTATGCTAGGAACACAATTGGAGCGAACGACGAATTTTTTCGCGGCGTATGTTCGTCGTCAAAAATAAAACACATATGTGTATATGGAAGTGCACACAATCACGGCACCGGCGAAAATTTCGTCGGTCGCCGCGAACTCAATTAGCTTTATTTCTATTTCATACGCCGGCGACCGGCGAACAAAACAGTACAAGGTGGCCATACTTGTACGAATTTTATGTGTTTTAGTAAATAAAGTTACTTTTTTCTTTAAAATTTGTTATGGTCACTCTACTATCTGTTACTCGTATAAAAAAAACATAATTAATTTGTTTATTTATTTGTGTACTTGCGCCTGAGTGAAGATGGATATCAGTGAATTTATAATAGAGAAGATGGACATAAGTGAAATTATAATGGAGAACGTAAAGAATTATGTGTTCTTGTATAATTCATTGTAGTCAACAAATGAGCAAAAAGTAAACAACTTCATCAGCTGTTTTATAATTTCGTCGGTATTGTGATCCATACGACGAATTTTCGCGGCTCATTTTGTCGCCGCGTAGGACGAAATTCGTCGTTCGCTTCAATTGTGTTCCTAGCATTAAGCTGCAAATACATAAAGCGCTTATTTGGTTGGCTTAAGTCATCGGCTGGCTTCTTCAGAAATGAACAAAGGAGCCTAGGGCCAAAATCGAACTAGGTCAACCTAAAACTCCTTTGTTCGTCTACGAAGAAGCCAGCCGATGACTTAAGCCAGCCAAATATGCGCTTTATGTATTTCCAGCCTTAGAAACATGTATGAAAATTGTTAAATGAAACATAAAATTAATCTTTGGAGTAAAAACTATAATATCTTCTATTCTTAATAATGCTAATTTCATGTATTTTGGTACAAATGCCTATAAAAATCAAATTCTTAAAAAAAATCAATAAAAAAAGGAATTATGCCGTATGAATGGGCTAATCCTAATTCTGAGAGCGAACAACGTTATTGAAATTGCAATTAAAACATAGCATGAGTCGAACAATCGACTACGAATAGTCGAGTACTCGGTTTTCACCCAAGTCCATAGTCGAGTTCGAGATTCAGAAGATTGAGTACTCGTTTGTTGTTTGCAAAACGTTTTCATCTCATATATTAAAGTAATAAATAAAATAATCTGTAAAAAATGTCTGCTGCTATGCCAATTAATCCCAAACCATTCCTGAATGGTCTAACGGGTAAAGCTGTGATAATCAAACTTAAATGGGGACATGAGTATAAAGGTTATCTGGTGTCTGTGGATGGCTACATGAACATGCAATTGGCCAATACAGAGGAACACATTGATGGTCAAGTCACCGGTAGTAACTTGAATAAATTAAGAAGAAGTAAAATTGTTACTAAGAATTTACGTCTAATTTACAGGAAACTTGGGAGAAGTCTTGATTCGATGCAACAACGTTTTGTACATTAAAGGCGTCGACGATGAAGATGAGGAAGGTGAAATGAGAGACTAATAAAAAGTACAAACCATTTATAATGGTCATAGCTTATAATGTACTAGTTTTACGTATATTTCATGTATAATACTTTGAATTCTATTATGAATTTGAAAAAAAATATTTTGTAATAAAAAAACAATCAACAGGATAACAAAATGTACCAGTACCTATTTCCTTATAATTTTACGATGACTCAATCAGCTCTAGTCTGAAAGTTGTCATGGAAAACAGCGATATAAAATGCTCTTGCTGCGGTCCTAGGGCATGTTTCCATTCGACTGTATCACACAGTGATAGGACAATAGTGAGACATCTAGTACTTTTCCTAAAGGTTATAATTGGACTAGGAGTTTTCCATTGTATTCCAATAAAATTTACGAACCATGCATAATGTTTCATGGCATATAATCTTATATTGTAGTAGGTTTGCAGTTAATTCATTTAGAATTTTGGCGCGAAAAAATGCAACAATTCTCAAACCATTGCTACTTATTCGTGTTCTCAAATTCATATGTTTTTCGAAATAACTTGTATTTGTGTTTTAGAGCCATACAACTGATACTGATGTAGGGTGCCCTTCGAAATCTTTATACAGTTATTACAGCAACACTCGGTGGGTAATTTAAGTTTATTCTTTAAATATAGAACTCAATATATGATGTAGTTGTGGTTTTATTAACAAGATGTTATTCAGAACATGACTGGTCGCAATATTTGCACAATTATTCAAAAGTAATACAGAAAGCATTTAAGAATGTCGGGAAAGAACTTCGATGATGTTATTAAACGAAAATTGGCAAAATTGGAGGAGATACGCCAGGAAAGAAAACAACTGGAGGTCTTAAAATCTGCACGCGATGCTGAAAAAGCGAAAGAAAAATATATTAAAAAAATCAAGTCGTTTGTGTTAGTATTGAGAATGCTGCTTTATGTAGGGAAAAACAAATATCTTTAATATCTTTAACAAAGTAATTTTATTTCAGTGATTTTGATAAAATATGTGAAGAAACGTTGAGATTAACACCACAGATAGAAAACCCCACAGTGTCTAGTTCCAAGAAAAAAGAAAACGAAAATATACAAATTCTCAAGGACAACGTTGAAACGCCTAAAAGGTACCTTGTACATATATATATATATGCTTTTGTAATAATTTTTTCTTTGTATGTTCATTCCTAGAGACATATCGGAAAAACTTTCCAAGTTAACAGTATTCCACACAGAAATTACGGACATTCAGCCTCGAGATATACTCACATCTACTAAGTCAACTCAAACTAAAAATAGCAATGCTTGTCTCCAACGTTTAGGTAACTATGCAATTCAATTTTAATTCTGTTCTATTCATTCTATTATCGAAATGAAAACATATGCAAATAATTATTATTTTGAATTTAAATATTAGTTATTAAAAATATTGAAGATAGCCACGATGATGACATATTAGAGGGAGGATTCAAATCAAAATTACCACCCGGTTGTATGTCACCAGGTTTGCCAAAGGTTGAATTTGTGCTGCCAGCCATAACTCGTTTAGAGAGCATAATTGAAGAGCGTAAAGCCGGTAAGGGACGCATGTGTAAAAACTCAAGACAATCCTAATCGAACATCAATATTTTTAGTTACAGAATTAACAGAAGAAGAAAAGTTAGCATTTATTTCCAATACTAATTTTCAAAATGCATTAAAGCGCATAGGTAGTGTAGTCGAAAATGTAGTTGCCAATAATAGAGATATAACAAAGGACTATACGAGACCTAACACCAGCATTGATGATGCCGACGATGTGTCATGTTCAGGAGTATTATTAAATGTCATGTTTGAGTGTGAACTTACAACCAATCGTTGTATAACCGACATGGATTGGTCGCCTTTTGTAGCTGATCGAATTGTCGCATCCTATCATTCCAATGTGGTATAATTAAACATACATATCTTGAGCATTTTATCCCTTACTTATTTTCATAATCTTTTAGAATGAACCCTTAGCACCAGAGGGTATGACACTGGTGTGGAATGCATCTTTTGGCAAAACATATCCGGAATACATAATGCATTCTTCCAGTGCAGTTATGTCAATTTGTTTCGATAACTTCGATCCAAACATTATTATTGGTGGAACCTATTCAGGACAAATTGTCATGTGGGATACACGTTCGCCGAAATCAATTCCAATACAAACAACCAAATTGAATAGCGGAGCTCATGTACAACCCATTCGATCTTTAAATATTAATTCTCATAATATTTATTCAATTTCATCTGATGGTCGTTTCTGTACTTGGAACATGGATATGCTGTCTAAGCCGATTGATGTTTTCACATTAGGAACCAAACAAAAACGTCCCATTGCAGCAACCTGCATGACGTTTACAGACATTGAATATAACGACTTCCTTGTGGGTGGTGAAGATGGATGTGTGTACAAAGGTAATTATCAAACTAAAGATATAGGATATACCATGGTACAATGAAGAGAAGGTAGGTCAACTTTGAAAAAATTGCAAGTATAGAGGTCTACCTGTTTGGCTTGTAATGTCAAAATTAGTATCAAAACAATAAAAAATCAAACAACTTGTTGCATTTATTTTGAATAAATAATTGAAAACCGCGATAACTGAATGAAAGGTCAATACTTCTTATCAAAATCATGTACTATATATCTCTAAAGGATTATTTCGCTACAAAAACTTGTTGCATTTATTTTGAATAAATAATTGAAAACCGCGATAACTGAATGAAAGGTCAACACTTCTTATCAAAATCATGTACTATATATCTCTAAAGGATTATTTCGCTACAAAAACTCTAGATTTTGTCGATGCATACGTTGAAATAAACATTTTGAAAACATCCGAATTTGAATATTTTCTGAACAATTTTTTGTTATTGAAAAGAAAACACATACATAAACAAATAAAGATGACATATTAAGCCAAGAAAATAAAAAAAAATTAAAATCATATGGTATCATAGCCCTACCTTGATATCATTGTACCATGGGATATACAACTACCTTACAATGCAAATTGAACTGAATATTTGTGACTTTTAGCTAATCGTTTCGATGCAAATGCCGGCATCAAGGCTAAATATGAACAACACGATTGTCCAATAAGTGGAATATCGATGTCGCACTCATCAGCCTCAGAATTTAATCACTTGTTTTTAACATCATCTATTGATTCGACCATAAAATTGTGGTCATTACATAGTGAAAACCCATTACATACCATTTATAATAACTTCGATTATGTCATGGATATATCATGGTGTCCAACAAATCCTGCTCTATTTGGCACTGTAAATGAAAGTGGTCATATTGATTTATGGAATATAAATATGGACTCTGAGGAACCTATTGTATCTACTATTGTAGATGGTCAACCAGCTCTTAATCGTTTTTCATGGATGCCAAATGCTAAACATATTGCAGTTGGTGATTTAGATGGAAGGCTGTATCTGTATGAGGCAGACAATAGATTAACACAGCCTGTTCACAATGAAAACTCTGCGCTTATTGAAACCTTGGATATGTTAAGGCAAAAAAGTTTAATAAGAGACTAGAGTCTCCAAATGCCATATTCTATTTTACTTTCTTGAGCGCAGTAGGGCGTATCGATAAAATTTAAATTTAAGAAGCCTCAGATATTTTTGGGAGTATATTGAGCATATACATTTTTAAGAAGCATAATATTGATGAATAAATATAATTATTTTTTTTTTATAAAAAGGGCATTTAGTATTACACCTAATAGAAGCATTTTCATATTCACTCATAGTACTTCTAATGTTGCCATAACCATATAAAAAAGATTTTCAAGCCGATCTTAAGATTTAATTAGAACCATGGTAGAAGAATATAGGTAGATGCATCAACGTTTGGGAACATTTATATGTCAACAATTTTTTAATGTTTTTTTTTTTCAAAAATAAGTAGATTTTTCTTTGCTTTCTTATACGACGACAAACGTAGGTTGTTCTGAAATGCATTTTTCAACTATATTAACGAATTTAAATAAATTGTCATTCAATGTTGTCCATTCCAAAATTGGTTTGACAGTTTATTGCCCCAGCAGCTGTGTTACGCTAAGTTCACATTGCACGTGATTCGCTCTTTATTCCTTGTTCGACTATTAATTAAGAAATATCTAGGTAATTCCCCACACAAAATTTGCTGAGCGAACAAAGATTTTTGTTCTTTGTTCCATTCAAATCAATCTCAGAACTAAGATGAAGTGTGTGCCATCCCTAACAAATGAGAGCATTTATCGAAAAAACAAATTATGACATTTAAAAATTCAAAATTGAAAAATTTAATGAAATTTTGGGAAGACTGAAAGTTATGAATGATAACTACAATGTTGAATGGCGTATGTTCATTCAAACGAAAGTAAATGTTGTTTTCTCTCCCATCCGAGGTGGGCATTTTGTCCACGAGATGAAATTTCTACAGAATCTGGAATCTGGAATATTTTCAAAATGTTTGTATCGGCAGAAAATATATTTGTCAAGTATCTCTCCATCAGAATTTAAAAAATAAAAAAATACGTTCAAAATGTCAACATTTACACAAAAAGTTGAAAACATGAATGAAAATTGTAAAATTAATGATATAATAAAATTTTGGGAGAAAAACAATAATTTTTTCTATTCATATTAGTGAAAATTTCATGTATTTTCGTATAAATTCCCATTAAAATCAACAAACAAAATTTTTGAAAAAAGGAATTATTTTACTATGAATTACGAATCGTGCGTATGAACGGGTTAATTCGTGTACCTAATCATGGCAGAAGAATACAGGTAGATGCATCAACGCTTGGGAGTATTGATATGTCAAAAAATTGTAATTGTTTTTTCAAATATAAGTAGGTAGTAGTAGGGCATATACGACGATGTGGACCTGCATAGGCAACTTTTGTCATAAACCATTACAATATTCAAATGCGAAACAATTCCGGCGAATAATGTCGCTAAAATCATCAAAATATCGAATATCGGAAGGTACCGTTATATGGGGCTATATATCGAATTTCGGGAGGCGCCTTTACATGGGGACAGTACGAAGACGTGGACCTGCACGTACAATTGCATTGATAATGGGCTGTAGTATCCATTACGAACTTCAAATACCAAATTTGAAACAATTCCGGTGAATAATGTCGCTAAAATCATGAAAGTACGGAATATCGGGAGTTGCCGTTACATGGGGGCTATACGAAGGCGTAGACCTGCACAGAAAATTTTCTGTCATAGGCTGTAGTATCCATTACGAACTTCAAATACAAAATTTGAAACATTTCCGGTGAATAATGTCGCTTAAATCACCAAAATACTGAAAATAGGAAAGTACCATTGTATGTGGACTATACCAAAACGTAGACCTACATGGTCCATTTTCAATTCCAAAACTTCTGCAGACATAAAACACATTTGAGTAGAATTTTATCAACCCACTTCATTCCGTTCGGAAGCCTCGACACCCCTTAAGGGGCAGAATTGTTTTGTTCAGACTATTTGGAATCATAATTTCAAGACCATGCAAAGTACTTCCCTTCTTTGTGCTATAAAGAATTGCCTAATCACATAAGTTTTGGATTTTCGATAAAATACTTGTCGTCTTCACAAATGAAACTCAGTTATTTTAAAATATTTTTTTCCTACATATGTATATTTATTTACATTGCACTAATTACATAAAAATCTATGTATCTAACTATTGTATAAAATATTTACATAACTATTTCCTGTGACACTTGTGCCATATTAATACTCGCCGTCATTGGCTTTTTCGATCTAGCTGCAGCCCATTCTACGGGATGGGCTTTTTTACGATGATGATGCATATTAGAGCTGACTTTAAACGTTTTCGGACAATGTGGACAGGTATAGAGATCTTCACCTGTATGGCTGGCCATATGCTCGCGCAGTACTAGACTGGTTTTAAAAGCCTTATCACAAATGGTACACTTATATTTCCGTTCTGCTTGATGAACATATTTCTTATGACTAAGTAATGCCACCGAGGATGGAGCCACTTTTCCACACTCGCTGCATATGTAAACGGTTTTGCCGTCATTATGAGCCACCAATTTATGACGCTTTAGGCTTGCGTGGGTGTTTAACTTTGCACTGCACTGATCACATGGCCATTTTCGTCTCTCTATACCAGCGTGCTCTTGCAAATGTGTCCGCAGTGAATAGATGCCGCGGAAAGTTTTTCCGCACTGATCACATACACGTTCAACATTGTGAACCATTCGTTGGTGTACAATACGACGTTGTTCGGTTGGAAATCCCTTGCCACATTCGCTGCACACATGATCCTTGTTAGGCTCGTGTATTTCCATATGACGTTTCCACACTGGCTTTTTGGCGAAACATTTATGGCATATTGGACACTCAAAGGATCGTTCCTGTCCCTGCTCGGTATGCTGTTCGTACATATGATTACTCAAAGTTCGTTTATTTGTACAACATTTGCCACATAGTTTACACTGGAAGGCACCAGGATCAACATGGACGCGAATGTGTTCTTCCAGCTGATGACGACGACTCAACTTTCTTTGGCAACAAAGAACATAACACCTCTGCTTGGGGTGTTGTTTACGAAAGTGATTTCGTAAAGCCATCATATTTGGGGCAGTTGCACTGCATAGGTAACAGTCCAAATCCTGTTTCCATTTTGCTATAAATTCGTCAATTTCTTTGGATGATCTTTTCGTTGAATTATTGGGTTTTGTTGCGCCGACTTCATCATTTGAGGGTGCTGTATCGTCCGCCGCATCCTCTTCTTTTAATGTAACATCATTTATTAAATTGTCTACCTCGCCAGAATTGGCAACATCTAAAACGCTTTCCTTAACGGTTGTTGAATCTTTCACTTTTGGTTTTCTTCCCCGTCTTTTGGGAACGTTAATGCAATCATCATACTTCTTGGTTTTGGAGGAAATCTTCCTTTTACCTTTTGAACGTGTTCTCATACATTCTAACAAAGGTTTGTCATCATCGGAGCTGAAGTATGTATCACGATGGTCATCGAGTCCATCCACTTCTGGAAATCCAATAAAGTCTTTGTCATATCCATTGTTCTCGATATTGGTATTACTTGCAGTGGTAAAAATTTGAACAATATTGTCCTTATAATCTAATACAGATTCCTCAGTAATGGCATCTTCAGTTTTAACTATCGTCTCCGGCTCTACCTGTGAGCTAGTATATTCATTTAACTTGGATTGTGCCAGTATAACTGACACTTGAAATTTATTGAAATCATCTATGTGGCGCCAGCATCCAACACATATTACGGGTTGTTTCTCCTGATCCAAATTCAAAAGCTGTAATATAAATAAGTAGTGTCCTTAACAGTAGATAACAAATGCCACAAAGCTTCACTTACAATTGGATCGAAATATTTGACAGTGGTTTCGTATATGGCATTGCTTTCACCATTTTCATCGCACAATGTTTCATATTGACTGCAAATTTCAACACAAAGTCGGCACAGAGTTGTTTGAGCCATCTTTCAAGATTGAGCTGAGAACATTCCAATTGAATAGAGATTCAGTACAGAGCCATAGTACTGTTGAATGTACTTATGCCATTAAATTTCTAAAGTTTCGCGATTTTTTCTTGGTTTTAGCAAATTCGATCGTGGTCCATACATTCCATTGATAACCCCACAGGTAGCATCTGGGATAGATTTAGCTAGTTTATTATATGTCGCCTGCTGGAAATACAATTTTGTAGCGCAAAAAGGCCGAAATATCAGGACAATCTCAAGTTAATTTCTTTGTTTGGGATTTAAATATATCCGTTTATGTGAATTTATCCAGGTTTTTTGTTATTAAGTCCTCGGTGGGTCTTGATTTCCACCAAAAATATTTTTATTTACGAAAACAATTGAAAACGTAATCGAAAAAACATCGTTAAGTTATTAGAAACGTAACGCAACGGAAACTTAGAATATGTTTAGATTAACGTCATTTATGCTTTTTAAATCTGAATCTCGTTTCCGTGCCCAGGATCCAATTCCAAGAAGGATTATACTAAAAAATATATATATCGAGGCCGAGTTCCACAAAATGGAAACGTACGTCTCGAAATTCACTCCATTCGGAAATTAAATAAACCTGAAATCGGATTAAGGCTATATCCAAATCTGAACCGATATTGATAAAATTTGGTAGACGTATTTCTGGGCTGCATCTGATATCTGATGCCAAATATCATTGTTGTCGAATACACATTACGAATGTGAGGGACTTAAACATCAAATCGGATGAAACCTATGTATGGGAGCTATAGCCATATCTGAACCGATTTTCACCAAATTTAATGTACTTGCTTCTAGACGGAATACGGTTGGATGTACCAAAATTCTGGACTTTTGGACTAATATTGGCCATTTGGTGCACAATTAACCCAAAATCGTTTGAAGATATATATGGGAGCTCCATCTAAATCTATACCGATATCGATTAAATTTGGCAGAGGTATTTCTGGGCTGTAAATGACATCTGGTACCAAATATCATTGTTTTTGAATGCCATTACGAATGTGAGGGACTTAAACACCAAATCGGATGAAACATATATGTGGGAGCTATACCTATATATGAACCAATAAAACCAAAATCGGTTTAAGATTTATCTGCGTTATATCTAAATCTGATCCGATTATCACCAAAACAAATATTGTTTGAAAATTTCATCTCAATCACAAGAATACATGGACATGGACGGACGGACAGACGTACTGACATGCATAAATCGATTCAGAAAGTGATTCTATGAAGATCCTCAAAAGTAACTATGGGTCTAGTTTTGATGATGATGGCGATCGAACCATTTCTTCTGGCACTTTCCCCATACGAGGTAAACGATCATAAAATCCGAGGTAAGCATCCGATTCACACATCACAATATTTCCATAAACACAAGATCTGTTGTTAAGATGATAGAAATCGGACCATTCTTTCACATAGGGATCAAGATATTTGTGAAATCAAAACGCTCGAAGAAAACTTTCTTCAAAATTTAACACTTAAAAAATTTTTTGCTAAAGCAAGGTCTGCTGTAAAGATTACATATATCTGCCAACCCCTTCTGGTACTCACCCACAAAGAGTCACAATTTTCAATTATTTTATCTGTCATAACTTGCGAAATGAGTCGGCAATATTTCTCTCAACCAAAAATCTGATAGGAATATCTTATTGATCGAAATTTATTATTTCGCATAAAATTGGATATAAATGTTCGATTTTAATCAAATGTTGCACATACCAATATTTTTAACTGTATTAAATGCATTATGAAAATACTTGTTACTTGTTACCTCACGCATATTTCAATATTTTCCAAAAATTTTCACATATCTTATATATAGTCCAAATCTGACACGTTGTAATATTTTTGTCTGTCTTAAGTCAGATACGAGTTGGTCAATATTGCCTAACTGTTTCAGAACCTCCCCCATAAAGGGTCAACAGTTTGAATAATCATAACACAAGGCTGAGGGTATACATCTGTCGGCAAAACCGACTGATACTATTTTATTTTTTTAATATGAGTTAATAAGGCGAGTTGTGTTTTTCAAATTAAAGCAACCTGCCCTACTTTGCAATGGTTGTATCATGACTAGGAAAGTTACAACATACATTTTGTAAGAATTAATTAGAAATCAGCTGACCAAATATATTTTCTCCATTTGCTTTACAATTTCTGAGTCGAAAACACTCATAAGATTTTAGAATAGATATTGCAGACAGACTATACCCTGCAATAAAAATGATAATATTTTCAAAATAAACTAACATTTTCTATTTTCCAGTCATATAAATACCTGATATGTATCAGTGAAACCCAGTAACTTCTCAGCATAGGTATTTCACTCTTGATTCACTCTTTTTTATTGGACCTTTATGTAAACACACAACATCCTGTAACATTTTGTACAATTTTTACCCAAGATTAAGATCTACAGACGATACACCTGGTCTGTTGACAATCGTGCAATGTTCCCGAAAACATTCAATTTTTCACATCTCTTCACATAACTACTTCGTTGGAGACTTGATTTATATCGACCTTCGCTATGATTGGACGATTTAGTCTGCTCTCAGCCCATTCTTTGGGATGTGCTTTTTTCCGATGATGATACATGTTCGAACGAGCTCTAAACTTTGTTGGACAATGTGGGCACGTGTATAGGGATTCACCAGTATGAGTTGTCATGTGTTCACGTAAATAAACCGCTGTCTTAAAGGCCTTATCACAGATTGTACATTTATATTTACGCTCGGCTCGATGCACAACACTTTTATGTTTTTGCAAAGCTTCTTCGGTGGCGGCAATTTTTCCACACTCGCCACAAATGTACACGGTACTACCGTCCGTATGAGCCACCTTTTTGTGGCGTTTCAGGCTGGAATGTGAGGACAATTGGGCTTTACAAATATCGCAGGGCCATTTAGGTTTCTTAATGCCCTGATGATCCAAGAGGTGTTGTCTCAGGGCATATGCACCATGGAGAGTCTTGCCACATTGATCACAAACTCTGTCAATATTGTGTACTCTTCGCTCGTGCAACTTCCGAATTTCATCGGTTGCAAATCCTTTACCACATTCCTCACAGACGTAATCCGTTCCAGTTTTGTGTGTATTCATGTGATGTTTAAGTGCCCATTTCTTATAAAATCGCTTCTGACACATTGAACATTCAAACGAAAGTTGTTGACCTTTTGCCGTGTGCTTCTGAACCTTGTGTTTATTCATATTCTCGCTTGTTTTAAAACATTTTCCGCAAACATCACATTTAAAAGCACTCGGATCAAGATGTATCCGAATGTGTTCATAGATATGGGATCGATGTCGCAATTTAATTTGACAGCAGATGACATGAAAGTAATGTTTGGGATGACACTCTCGAAAATGTCGACGTAGTGTATCAACGTTTGGATAAAGTTCAGAGCAAACCACACACTCAAGATCTTTTTTCCATTTTGCTATAAACTCGTCTATTTCCTGTATCTTACGTTGCCTGGCATATTTATCATTTTCCGTGGGAGTTTTGGTGTCAGAATGGTCATCATCGTAACTTGGTTGTGATATATTGCCATCTTGAGAATCCTCTTCAGATGTAAAAGACATATTTTCGGCATCCGGAATGTTTTTTTCGTTAGGCCTCCTGTGTTCGCTGATTGCTTCCATTGTGTGGCTTTTTATTGTAGGCTGTTCCATCCTTGTCTTGCCTTGTAATTCTTTCCACGTATATTCATCTTCAGAGCCATATTCACCTGAATTGTGATCTTGAGTATTGTCTTCTTTAAATGTAAATGACATGCCTTTTTCAGACCTGTCGTGTATTTTGTCAGATCTTCTACTTTCACCGTTTGCTCCGTTTATGTCATTTCCAGACCTAGAATATTCATTTTCCGATTCAATCTCAACTGAATCAGAATTTTCTTCGGAGCATTCTTCCGTAAGAGAATTATTTCCATCATCTCCCTCTACGCTAATTTCCAGTCCTACAAGTAACATATCCTCATCGTCTAGGTCGTCTTCTACAACATCCTCTGATAATTGATCGTTCAGCTTATCATCTTCTGGTTTAATGTCTGTCGTTTGGTCCATTCCCAAAGAGAATTTCTTTTGGGCATTGTATATAATTTGCTGAAATTCGTGGAAATCGCTAATGCTGCGCCAACACCGAAAACAAATGACCGTATTTTTTTGGTCCATGTCCAAATTCAGCAGCTGTAAAAAAGGTAAAAAAGACAAGCTTTTACAACTATACACAACAGTCAATAGCAAAAGTCTTACCATAGGATCGAAATATTTGACTATCGTTTCATATACATGCGTACTGTTACCTTCATCATCGTAAAGATTTTGGCAATTGCTACAAATTTCTACACAGAGCCGGCACAATGGGTGCGTTTCCATCATTGAGTACTCCTGACTACCAAACAGACCATTACATTACTACATTACTGCAGGCAACTGTGTTGTGTAGTTCACAAACGAACTAGTTCAAATGAACGATTCACTAAAAAACAGATCAACGAAAAACCAAGAGTAAAATACGCTTACAATAATATATTCATTTCCTATTAAGGACATCTCTCAGAACTATTACCAATCTTACTAAAGTATACTTTTTCCCCGAAATGTTTGACTTCCAGTTATATTTCCCTTGAAAATTTGTACTGACCCGATTTCTACTATTAAGGTTCTATTTGAAATAGGGAACAAGTAAAAAACAGCTGGCCGGGCCGAGCTTTTAATGCCCTCCACCATTTGGAAGGAACTTGAAAAAAAATTTAAACTACCACTATATGGCGACTATAGGAAGGCGTGGACCTGCATACGATTTTTTTTGTCATATGCTGTAGTACCCGTTACGAACTTTAAATGCGAAATTTTGCAACAATTCCGGTGAATAATGTCGCAAAAATCATGAAAGTACAGAATATCGGGAGGTAACGTTATATGGGAGATATACGAAGACATGGACCTGAACAGACAATTTTCTCTCATAGGCTGTAGTACCCATTACGAACTTCAAATACGAAATTTTTAACAATTCCGGTGAATAGTGTCACTAAAATCCCCGTTATTTTGGGGTCCATACAAAGACGTGGACTCGCATAGGCGATTTTCTGTCACAGGCTATAGTGCCCATTAGGAACTTTAAAAACGAAATTTGAAACAATTCCGCTGAATAGTGTTGCTGAAATCATCAAAATACCGAATAGTAGGGGGTACCGTTATATGGGGGCTATACGAAAGCCTGGATCTGCATATGTAATTTTCTGTCATAGATTGTAGTTTCTATTAGGAATTTCAATAATTTAAATAATCCCGGTAAATAATGTCGCTAAAATCACGAAAATACCGAATACCGGGAGGTACCGTTATATTGGGGCTATTCAAAAACGTGGTCCGGCATGGCCCATTTACGAACTTAACCTGTCTACTGGGAAAATATGCATGTATGCAAAATTTTAGCATTCTATATCAATTCGTTCGAAGGATAGCGTTATTACAACATATAGACAGACGGACATCGCTAAATCGTCTTAGAATTTTACGCTGATACAGAATATATATACATTGTGCGGTCTATCTATCTAACTACTTATCAAGTCAAAGTAACCTCTTCATATGACCACTTGTTGGAGCAGGCTGTAAAAAGCTTTCAATGATATATACGTTGTATAAATCGGTTCAGATGTTACTGGTTACGAATCAATATCACAGCCTGATCTAAAATCGGATAGAAATTGGTAGCTATATCTAAATATGTCTTTCAGTTTGCATGTTACAAAAACAAAGGTTGGATTTAAAAGAAATATGCAACTGTGGACTAGGGAAATGTATAATGTTGTGACATTCTACGGTTAAACTACAAAAAACAGGACATGTCAACGAAAGCATTGTCACATCCTGCCATTTACTCTTTAACATGAAAGCAAGAAAACACATAATTTCTTTTTTACTTAGCAAATATTTTGATATTTATTAACTCTATTTACAATACCACTTCGTTTGATACTTGATTGATATCAACCTTTGCTATTGTGGGCCGATTCAATCTGCCTTCCGCCCACTCTTTGGGATGTGCCTTTTTCCGATGATGATGCATGTTGGAACTGACTTTAAACGTCTTGGGACAGTGCGGACATGTATACAGATCTTCGCCGGTATGCGTAGCCATATGTTCGCGCAAAACAACAGCCACTTTAAAGGCTTTATCGCATATTGTACATTTGTGTTTGCGTTCAGCTTGATGGACATACTTCTTGTGGCTGCGCAGTGCTGTTTCGGTTGCAGCAATTTTTCCGCATTCACCACAGACGTATACTGTGCTGCCGTCATTGTGCGCCACTTGTTTGTGACGCTTAAGACTGGAATGTGAATACAATTGGGCATTACATATATCACAGGGCCATTTTGGCTTCTTAATGCCCTGATGTTCTAGTAGATGTTGTTTCAGGGCATATATACCGTGGATGGTCTTGCCACATTGATCACAAACTCGATCAACATTATGTACGGTTCGTTCATGAACCTTGCGGCGCTGTTCCGTTGCAAATCCTTTGCCACACTCACTGCACACATAATCCGTTCCAGTTTTGTGCGTTTCAATGTGACATTTTAAGACAGTTTTCTTGGCAAATCGTTTCTGACATATAGGACATTCGAATGTTCGTTCTTGGCCTTCAGCGGTATGTTTTTCAAGCTTGTGACTATTTAGACTCCGGCTCGTTGTACAGCATTTGCCGCAAACATCACACTTGAAGGCATCGGGATTTAAATGAATGCGAATATGCTCTTCGATATGAAAACGATGACGTAGTTTGCGTTGGCAGCAGGTAATATAGCATTTCTGTTTGGGATGGAATTCTCGAAAATGTTTCCGCAGCGACGTAAGATTCGGATAAAGTTGACCACAAACGACACATTCCAAATCTTGTTTCCATTGAGCTATAAATTCATCTATTTCCTGGGTTCTACGTTGTCTACCAACGTTTTTCGCTGGTGGTTTTCCGACAGAATTGTCATCGGTGTCGCCACCAATTGATGATGATAAATGCCCATCTTGAGAATTGTCTCCATACGGAAAAGAATCACATTGATTCTTGGAACTGTTTACATCAATTTCACTGGACTTGTTGACATCAGCACATTTCGGCTTCCTTCCACGTTTCTTAGGAGTTTTGCCATTGTCTTCCTTTTTATTCGGACTTTTTGTTTTGGTACGTTTCTTTCTGGTTTTCTTTAGACATTCTAGCAATGGTCTTTCGTCGTCTGAAGTAAATTCAACGGAATTATGAGGTTCGTCATAAAATTCTTCGGGCAGAGATATCTCATATTTATCATCTTCTGTGGTAACGTTGAGTGATTGATCGATCAGCATACTTTCCACCGGATCCTCCTTAACAATGTCCAGCGGAATGTGTTCGTTAAGCGAATCGTCTTCAGTCTTGATGTCGGCTTGCTTCATATCAAATGCCAACTTCGTTTGGGCATTGTACACGGTCTGCTGAAATTCATGAAAATCGCTGATATGCCTCCAACATGGCAAACAAATCACTGTGAGAGATTTGTCCAATTCCAAACTTAATAACTGTAAACATAGGAAGATTTGTTTATGCTGTTGTCACGAATTGGGGTTTTGTTGCCTTACCATGGGATCGAAATATTTTACAGTTGTTTCGTACACTTGTGTACTGCTGCCATCCTCGTCGTAAAGGTTTTTGCAATCGGCGCAAATTTCCACACATAATCGGCATAGAGTTGATTTATCCATATTTACTTTTCTAACTTTTCCACATTTGTTTATTAAACAAACAAGAGAAATTAGAGTTTTTCCGATTCCAATGCGAATGTTCAATAGAAATGTTCATTGAAGTGAACCATAAGGAGGATGATCCAGTTGTTTCGTTTAGTTCGACTAGTTCATTCAAGCAATGGAAGTTATCAAAATTCCAAAGCTAAAATAAAACTGTTAACATTTATTTATTTATAATTTATTAATTTTTGTATTTTTTATAAAAGAAAGGCTTAATTCTAGTTTAGTAAAAACTGTTCAGTTTTTTCGAAATTTTTTTCAGTGGTAGGTATTTTTACCCTTATCCTGGGAAACTATTTTTTTCTTGGGGGGACGGACCTGGGACCCCAGATATACAATATAGATATAGTTGGAAAGCTTAAAATACCTATCCAACAAGTGGTCACATGATGGGGTAAGATGTTACGGTTCGGAAGTTATAGTTAAATGATCGATTTTTTGGACCCCGATTTTTTATAAAACCCCCAAAAAGTCAAAAAAGGGTTCCTTATGGGGGACAACAAAATTGATGCCAAATTATAGCTGACACTCTTACCTTTCCAAAATGCTATAATTTGTGCTAATTACTGAGTCCAGTTTTAACCAGTTCATTAAAACTATGTTTTCAATAACAGCATTTTAAACCCTTGTAAATTTAATTTAAATGTTTTATTTATAAATATACTTATTAATAATTAATAAAATTAATCTAGAAAAACTACATGAATATTGTTCTATGCGAATATTAATTTTTTACATTTTAAAACTCTATTTAAAATAAAAATGTTCACCATTTTCTCAGGTTTTAGAGCAAATAATACATTCATCTGGTATTGAGCGTTGTCAAAAGCATATGGAGTGGTATTGATCGTAGCACTGTTTAAGCTTTTGTTTTTATACCCCCCACCATGGTATGGTGGGTATATTAAGTTTGTCATTCCGTTTGTAACACCTCGAAATATACATTTTAGACCCCACAAAGTATACATATGCTTGATCAGCATAAAATTCTATGTCGATTAAGCGATGCCCATCCATCTGTCCGTCTGTGGAAACCACTTCAGCTTCCAAACGAAATTAAGTAGGTTGGTAAAATTTTACTCAAATGTATATTATGTCTGCTGGACTTTTCGTAATGAAAATGGGCCTTGCCGAACCACGTTTTGGTATAGCCCCCATATAATGGTACCTCCTTATTTTCAGTATTTTGGTGATTAAGACGACATTATTCACCGAAATGGTTTCAAATTTGGCATTTGAAGTTCGTAATGGATACTACAGCCTGTGACGGAAAATTGTCTGTGCAGATCCACGTCTTCGTATAGCCCTCAGCATTTGAAGTTCGTAATGGATTTTAAAGCGTATGACAAAAATTGTTTGTGCAGGTTCACGTCATCGTATATCCCCAATATAACTGTACCTCCCGACAAGCGGTACTTTGTTGATTTTAGCGACATTATTCACCGGAATTGTTTTCAAGTTTCGCATTTCAATATTGTAATGGCTTATGACAAAGTTGCCACGTTGTCGTATGGACTCTAATATAACGGCTACATTCGGTATTTTTAAGATTTTAACAGAATTTTTAACGGATTTTATTTATTTTTGTCATTTACTTTTTTTTTCTTTTTGAAAACAAATTCGTTCCAAATTTTTAACAATTTTTTTTTTTTTGAAAATTGCTATATTCGTTTAAAGATCGGCCTGCCATACTTACAGTTTTTTACTTGTTTATGAAGGCCAAACTCGTTATTTTTGTCAGACGTCGTTATTTTCTAATTTTACTAAAAATATGCCACTTTTTTGCGAAGTTATGAATTAATTTCAAATGTGAAAATTATATATGAGTTCCAAACATTTATCCATCACCGATTTGGCAAATAAAAAAAATACATAAAAATATTTATTATTTAAATTTACCACAAGCGTGGAAAAAATAAACGGATCATATAAATTAAAATTTTGACTCAAAATAAAAAATTTTGACTCAAAATACATAATTTTCGTCAAAAATGATCTACTTGTCCGGCCTTGCGTAATGCAAAAAATCGTACTCCTGTGTTTTCCATGACCTACCTTGTATATTATTATTTACTAATATTATTATTTTTTATTTTACATGAAATTTTTATTCTATAGAAATGTGCACTTTTTACATAATAATTTCATTGGATACCAAAGCTATATCTACTTTTTTCGTTACCGGTTTATTTATCCTAGCTTCAGCCCATTCCTTTGGATGGACCTTTTTTCGATGATGATGCATATTAGCGCTAACCTTGAATGTTTTCGGACAGTGCGGACACTGATAGAGATCTTCGCCGGTATGTGATGCCATATGTTCACGTAATATTTTCGGAAACTTAAAGGCTTTTTCACATATATTGCATTTGAACTTTCGTTCTATTAAGTGAACAATTCTCTTGTGACTTCGCAATGCGTTCTCTGATGTAAACACCTTGCCACATTCACTGCATATGTAAACCGTACTACCGTCGTGGTGGGCTATTAGCTTATGTCGTTTCAAACTTGAATGTGAATTCAGTTGGGCGTTACACTCATCGCAAGGCCATTTTGGTTTTTTGTAGCCGGCATGTTCCATCAAATGCAGTTTAAGGGCATAAATACCATGTATGGTCTTGCCGCATTGATCACATACCCGATCGGCTTGATGTACCATTCGCTCGTGAATTTTGCGCCGATTTTCCGATGGAAACCCTTTGCCACATTCGCTGCATACATAATCGCGACCGGCTTCGTGTACCTCCATGTGGGTTCGTAAAATGGTTTTATTGGCAAACTTCTTATGACAAACATCACATTCAAACGGACGTTGTTTACCCTCTTCTGTGTGCATTTCTTTTTTATGTTTGGCCAAGTTACGGCTATTGGTGCTGCATCTTCCACATTCATCACATCTGAAGGCATTAGGATTAATATGTAGTCGTATATGTTCGACAATGTGAAATCGATGGTAAAATTTCCTCTGACAGCATATAACGTAGCATTTTTCTGTTGGGTGCATTAGTCGAAAGTGTTTGCGAAGTAGTGTAAAATTTGCAACCGTTGTTGGACAACATACACATTCCAATTCTTGTTTCCATTGTGCAATAAATTCATCACATTCTTTTGTTTTCTCCTTTACGGATTTCTTCTCACTATTAGAACCGTCATCATCTTCCATTTCATTAGCGCAAGCATTGGGGTCGTTGATTTGATCTTCCACATGCTCAATTTGTAATTTCTTAGGCCTTCCTTTCCGTCTTCTATTGGTTGTATGTTCTGTCTCCTTTTGTTTTTTGTTCTTATTTGGGCTTCTAGGTTTTCTTGGCTTCCTAACAGCCATCGGCGTCTCTAATGATTTGTCATTATTTTGTTGCTTATTCGTCTTACTTTTATTTTTCAATCTATTTATGTGTTCTATAAGAGGCTTTTCATCGTCATCAGTGGAGAATGGGTTGTCATCCCTAAAGTCATCTTCATAGTCGCTGCCAAAGTCATGTTTATCTGAGGTGATATTTTCATTCTTAAGGCTATCATTAAAAATTGGAATTTCCGCTGTAGCTATCTCTCTGATTTGTAGTGGTTCCTGCAATACCTCCTCTTCCAACTTAACTTCAGGAACTAGCTGTTTAACATCGTTCTCCAACTGGGCCTGCAGTACGGCTTGAGCCTGAAGCACTGATTGTTGAAAACCATAAAATTCACTGATATGATGCCAGCATTCCAAGCATATAACTTTTGAATCCTGTTCATTTGCAGGACTTAGTAACTGTTAGAATTCGGAAAATGCAATATAGATACATAAGTAAATTCCAAATTATTACAAGAAACTGTTCCAACACTTACTATTGGATCAAAATATTTCAGAGTAATTTCGTAAACTTCATTTCCTTGGCCATTGTCGTCATACAGGCTTTTATATTCTGATTGCGAGGACACGCACAGGCGGCACAATGATTTATTGTACATTATTTACTTTAAATGTATTATTACATTTTATATGACTCCTGCTGCAATAAATTGGTACACTGTTCCAGTAGTGTTATGGGCTTATGTCCACCAGCAGATGTGGCTAGAAGCACTCGCAGCAATTCTTCCTTTTGACTGGTATTATCACTAAGGTATGCATTAGGGCCACAGCCGAAAACCAATTGGGAAACAAAAATGAAAAACGTCCCAACGAAGCGAATATAAAGGCCAAAAAGCAATACTTGATAAAAAATAAACAGAAAGCAAAGACTCCGGGTACTCTGTTGTTTACGAATGAGACATGAGAAAATTGAACATCTTCACTAAAGAGTGCGGAACTAGCTGCTACTATCGTTTTTCCAAATGCAATTATCTGTATGATGGTTCCTTACCCCAGGGTAGCATAAATACAATTTTTTAGTGGTCAAGACCAATATGGGCCCTACTCCGAAAATTTTCTACTCCCTTGGAAACAAAAGAAACAAAGATGGCAAATAAAAGCCAAAAATAGAAGAAAATGACGAAGACTCCAAAAATAGCTTAAATCATACAATAGTTATTTATGATCGATATCATATTGCAGGTCATGCAAAAGCTGCAAAAGCGATTTAAGGTATCTTAAATGTTCGGGAAGAATTTTTGGAAGGATAGAAATCCTTTTCTTACTAAAAGTCCCATTCGCTCTACTATTTTCCACCCTTTATATTTGGTATTTTACTGATTGTACTCCCAAAAATATTTGCAATTTGAGCTCTCATTGGACGGATTATTGTCACATGAAAAAGGTAGGTCCACGCTTTGAAATAAGCCCCATTAGTCATTTTTGTTTGTTTATATGTCTGCGCATCTTCCAGCTGAAGCACGATGTAGGCCCTGGAGTTGAAAGGTAGATGTCAGTTAACATCTTATTTCGCACTTATTTCATTTTTTTAGTGAAAAATTGTATATAGTGAAAAATTATTCTTTATTTTGTTCACAAAAAATCCGCTGAATTCAATATGATAATACAAATTAAAATAAATTGACAAAAGAAGAATAACAAATTGAAAAAATCTTCAACTTGTTTGCTGATTTTTTACAGCAACTGTTTAAAGATCCTTACAAAGTTTGTCAATAGAATGTACTTTTATTTTAAAATTCAATTCAATTCAATTTTGTTTGTTTATATGTCTGCGCATCTTCCAGCTGAAGCACGATGTAGGCCCTGGAGTTGAAAGGTAGATGTCAGTTAACATCTTATTTCGCACTTATTTCATTTTTTTAGTGAAAAATTGTATATAGTGAAAAATTATTCTTTATTTTGTTCACAAAAAATCCGCTGAATTCAATATGATAATACAAATTGAAATAAATTGACAAAAGAAGAATAACAAATTGAAAAAATCTTCAACTTGTTTGCTGATTTTTTACAGCAACTGTTTAAAGATCCTTACAAAGTTTGTCAATAGAATGTACTTTTATTTTAAAATTCAATTCCATTGGAAATTTTTTTCGATATTTTCCCGTTTTGAGAATTTTTGCAATGAGATCTCTTTTTTCGTGTTTTTTTTTTTAACGATTTTGAAAAAGTAATTTTCACATAATTCGGTTCCATGTAACCCGCCATCAATTTCAGTTCTCAAGAAATCAAGTCAATTAAATAAATTGGTATTAATATTCGAATTCAAAAATTTTTTTGGATATTATCTTTTTCGGATAGGAGACAATTCCGAATTTATATGAATCATTAAAGTCAGTTCAGCGGTTCTTAACTTATAAGCGTAGTAACTAACACAACTTTCTTTTATATATATATATATATATATATATATATATATATATATATATATATATATATATATATATATATATATATATATATATATATATATATATAAGGGGATTTTAGATAAATCGAAATAGTGGGCGTAAAAGGAGGCGTGGTCAATATTTTTTTCTTTAAAAACCTAACTCGGGGTATGACAAACGTTTGTACAAAAAATTATGCAAATCGGTTCAGCCGTTTTCAACTGATTCCGTTACCAACAAACAACAATTGATTTTTATATATATAGAAGAAGATAACGGAAAAATAACACAAAGTAGTGTTTCGGAATGTAAAATTGTTTATTGCGATAACGGATTTTTTCTTTTTTATTATTTCTATAAAATTGCAAAACTAGTAGATTCTTCTAAGATCTGGAACTGAGCAATATCATTTTTGGAAGACTGGACACATAGGGTCCCAATATACGGTAATAATTTCCGGGAATAATCTGGGACAAAACCTGTTTATTTACAAACAATAAAACCTAAGGTGCTTGTTAGAATATCTGCGCCAACATATAATCAAAAAAAAAGTTAAATAGTATCACTCGGGTTTGCCGACAGATGTATGCCCCCAGCATTGGATTATGATTACTCTAAGTATTGACCCTCTATTGAGAATGTTCAGAAGCAGTTGGTCAATATTGTCCAATTCGTATCTGATCTAAGTCTGATATACATATTACAACGTGATATATTCGGAATATATCGACTACTTCTTATACTTTATATGGGATATGTGCAAATCTTTGGAAGTTGTGGAAATATGCATGAGGTTGTTATGTGCGCATATGCTCGGCATACGATTAGGCCATCCGACTGTCACAGAGACTTCCAGGGCTAGGGATCTCAACCCGCCAATCGAATCCAACACACTAACATTGAAAGGGGACTTTACTACAATTGCTCTACTCTACGATATACAAAATAGGAGTCATCATACAGGGATCTCGGTGGATCGATCCCACACTCGCCCACCCTACCTGGATCCAGTATTTCCATTTCTTGCGTTTCTCTGAATCCCCTTAAACCACACGCTTCGAATCACACACTTACTTCATACCACCTTCCCCCCAAGTTATACAAATTTAGCAACACATATTAGTATCTACTGTTTACAAAAGAATCATTTTTAATTTTATTAAAAAAAATAAGTTAGCTTTAAATATTTTCTTAATTTTTTTCTCTACTATTTTTTTTCTTACACTAAAATTGACAAACTGTATGGTATAAAAAAAAACAAATTAAGAATAATACCGGGCTTTCTTAAATCTATGGCTTTAATTACTCGGTAGAAACCAATATATTATCCTTTGCCTTGCTTTTCCCGCGCAATATTCACGCGTCTATACGAAATTACTAGCCACCTAAAAGAGCTCTCTTAACTGGCCTAATTGCCGCTAAAATTCCACGGCCTAAACTATCAGATCGAATCACAAGGACTCAAGATAATTTTACTGTAACACCTCCTAGCCTTTGAAAATAAACGCGGTATTTTTCCCTTACAGATTGATTATTACTTAAATCCTAAGAACTATAACCTATCTTATTACCAAATTTTTATACTGAATATTATAATTTTTTTTTCTCGAAATTTATGATTATTAACTCTTTTTTTCTTTTCTTTTAGTTCCAAAAAAGGAGACAGCAAACTTTATGGACGTCACATATATATAAATATATCAAGGACAACACAACGGTAAGACACCTTTTACCTGAGCAGTGATTTATAACGTTATTGATTAATTCTTCTTATCTCCCCTTCCAGTTTACGCTTCTTTCCGGAGGAAACAGATTTTGAACGCCAGGCAAACCCTCAAATGAAGCTGGACTTGTTGACTGGTCCTTTTACACTGCCGGCGTTCTGGGCGGGATCAATAACAGGCACAGCAAAAAGCTCAAAGTTGCAGCTGGCCAGTTTACAATTCAAATCTCCACACCCTCAATGTAACTTTTTTTGGCTTTTTTCTCCTGTGGACAACTTGCCACTACCTTGCGTTACCAAAAAGAAAAGGCAATTTCCCGCCGTTGTGCTGACCAAAACCGGACAATTTTCGGTGCTTCCAAAAAAGCTTGATACACCACCGGAATATTCCTGTTGGAGCAACACACATCACATATAACAACACATTACTCAACAAACCATTGTTACAAACTACTTACACAATAAAAAAAAATCGCAACACACAAATTAAATTTTTCCACTTCTGCACTGCTCTCTAGCTAAGTTTCACCGGTAACGTCTTATTCTTAACTTTGGCTTTTCTTATGCTCGCAGCCTTTTATACCCCTCTTCTCAGTGAATCCCGCCAGACGCTCATTTTCCACGAAACACCATTTTCCTAAGCCATTTTCAATTTTCATTCCTTTTTCTTTTCAACTGTCAATAGCCATTTTTTTATTCTATTGTGAATTCTCATTTCAGCTCACCCCGGAGTAGTAGTAGGTTCCCACCTACTCAGCAATCATAGGGCTGCCTAGTCACTTCGTAGCCTGAGTCACCCTGTCATTCACTACCTTTATAATACTCTTTAACTCAACCCTGTTCGAGCCTAATTTCGTACGTAGCGAACCCTAACAAACCATTTCCGGCATTTTGATCCCATCGCCACCCAGACTACACACCCCGCAGAAATTACAAGCAAATTGAAATCTCGAAGCATCCTCACCATCCTCACTAAAAACCCAAGAAAACTGAGCAAATCCATTTGAGGACCAATTATGGGATGCACTACCAATAGAATTGGGATAATTTCTGCGGTGGTTGTGGACAGGTTTTGCCAAAAAAACCCGGCCCCATATATTTGTTGCCTTTTTGCGCCGAATGTGAACGGCCTGCAACAAAACTTCAACTTCGGCCAGAAAATCGAGGACGGAGGTGATGTGCACGGCCGCATTACTCATTTACGTGGGGACATCCCACTCCCTGAAGGTCTCATGCCGGGCATAAGCTCCGAACAGCAGGCTGGTCAAAGCCCTCCCCCTCATGCTGGTAAATATCCCCCATCGAAATAGAACCACATAAATTAATTTATTTTTCTAATCTGTCCATCAGATCTGTGAAACATGTCTTGCTGGTTCGCCTGATAATTCTCGATCCGACACCCTGAAATTATCGTGTCACTATCAAACATCGATCGAGTTCCCCTATAGCAGGTCAACATTTGGGAAGATCAAAAACGCTCATAAATTTTAAAATACGCATTCATTCATTTATAAAATCCCGCATTCAGTATTTCTACTAAGACAAGCTCAGAGGAACGGATGGGATTTATCGGCCCACTCCTTTGGGACCTTCACTACAAAAAGGTAAACATCCGGAACAACCCAATAATTCTATCAACCCAAGACCTTGTGTGGAGTTGGAATATATTTGTCCTCTCCGGCGGATCTACACTGGTAATACCCACCAGCTTTCAATGAAAAATTCTCCGATTCCATCAAAATTTCACACATTCTTCTTGGTTATGGATATAATCTTCAAAGTTGGAATCTATACGTACTTTGATACACAAATAATTTGATCAAATTATTGAAATCATGGTACAATAAAAAAGTAAGGTAGAGCTAAAAGCTGATTACAATTTTTTTTCCAAGTGTGCCCGACTTCTGTCATTATTGTGTATTATTTGTTTTGAAAATAAAAAAAATATTTTCAAGGTCAATGTTTGGAAAAACGAACACTGCGTGGCCGGCGTTCAAAATATTACCCTGTTTTGTCCTGGAATTGAAGGATTAAACAGTTTGGATCACATTTTTTAAAAAAAAATCCGTGCGTTCAATAACGCATTCAAAAAATAACAACAATTATCAAAACATTTTGTCGCATACAATTTTGACAGAAAGCGGGCATAGCCCTAGGAATGTATTTCGGTACTTTTTGTTTGTTTTGAACATTTAATAACTTTCATTCCTTAATAGGTGGTGAAACATTTTGCATGCGGAAATATTTGTGCCTATGCCTGTCTTGTCGTCGTGGTTGCCGAAGAACGGATTTTATATGCGGTATATGCTGATGTGATTGATAGGTAAACAAATACCATAATCGTGGTGTCTACGTGATTGTCTGGTAGAATGTAGTTTTATGTATGTTCGCTTTTTATGTATGGGAATCTTTCATTAATTTATGCCGGAATAAACCAGATTGTGCTATTTTTATCGCCACCGGGGGTGTTTAAGTACATTTTTTTTTTCAAATTTGTATGTCGCGTAGAATATTTTGTAAAAGAAATTAGACAGCTGTGATAAACGTGAAACTAGAGTCTGATTAACTTGAATTACCCAATTAGGGGAACAGATCAGCTGATATTTTTGAACCTTAATACGAATGAATTCAGTACGAAGGTGATTTTACTATCGTATTTAGTTTCCTCAGACACATTTTCTATGTTTTGTTTTGATTCATTCGATTTTGAATTAAACCATTGCTGATAAATGTGATATAGAATTGGTAACAAATGTGAAATAGTTTTTGAGAGTTATTTTAGAATTCTTTTTATAAAAATTGAATTGGGAAAGGGGATTGAAAAGACTTTCTTTTCCACTTATCTTTTAAGATCTTTTGCATGACAGATTCCAATCGCCTTTCCATTTAGATCTTCGAGAGAATACATATTATTTCCTATGGGCTTTACTATACGACACTTCGTAAATTTCCGGGCAAACTTAGCATTAAAATTTTTCCCAAAATCGCTAAGAACATAGTTTCTTTTATATACCTCTTGACCCGGAGAGAAAATAATCGTACGAGCCCTTGCGTTATACCTTTTTGCGCTTTGTTGATAAGCCTGATGCATATTCTGTCTAATTTTATTTCGGATTAGTTCCATCTTGTCGTTACGATCTAAATGTATAATTTCATGGTCTGCCAATGAGTGGAGCTTCCGAGCTAATTTATAATCTGAACCATGGGTATACATACTATGACCAAACAGCGCGAAAAATGGCGTTACACCAGTTGCAGTATGAATCGATGTTCTTAAGGCGCACTCTATGTCTGTTAGATACAGGTCCCAATCTCTGTGGTCATTTTCTAGATATGCCCTAATCGCCGCCAATACTGATTGATTGACTCTCTCAGATGCATTCGACTGCGGAGCATATGGAGCTGTTTGGATATGATTGATTCCATATGTTTCAATCATGTCTTTGAAAGTTTTAGATACGAACTGTGCCCCATTGTCGGAATGTATCGTCTCGGGTACGCCAAACTTACGAAATATATCCTCAACCATAAATTTTACCACATTGGAAGCTGTTGCCTCTTTCATTGCCTTAAGAAATGTAAATTTGCTAAAGTGGTCCACCACTATAAATATAAAGGCGTTGCCACTTTTAGACCGGGGGTATTTCCCGAGGAAGTCAACGTAGAGTTTCTGGAAGGGAAGATTTGTCACGACTTCATTTCCGATCTGAGGCTGAGTATTTTCATTAGTAGGCTTTGTCTCTTTGCAAACAGTACATTTAGACACGTATTGCCTAACCTGGGATACCATTAGAGGCCAGTAATATTTTTCTCTTAAACGAAAAATGGTTTTTGATATGCCTCCGTGAGCTGACGTAGTTTTATCATGGGCTTGCTCTATTAAAGAATGGGTCAAAGACTCTGGGACCCACAATTTCCACTGAAACTCTTGTGTTTCTGGGTTATAGGACTTGTGATCTCTTTTAAATACCATATTGTCGACAATCTTTAGATCGGGGAGATTCTCCTTTTTATTTGCTATAATTTCTCTAAGTTGTTTGTACGAATCACTTTCAAACTCGGTGGTCTCGAATTCAAAAACCCGATTCATGTCTATTTCGTCGGCATTGGGTAGGCGGGATAGCATATCGGCGACAACATTTTCCTTTCCTTTTCGGTGCTCGATTTTGAAGTTAAATCCCTGAAGTTGCAATGACCAGCGAGCTAAACGACCACTGAGGTCCTTTAGACTCATCAGCCATTGTAAACTAGCGTGATCTGTTATCACGGTGAATTCCATTAGCTCCACGTAAGGACGGAAAGTTTTGATAGCCATCACCGCCGCCAAGCATTCCTTCTCTGTCACGCTATAATTTCTCTGACACTTATTGAGTTTTTTCGAATAGAAAGCGATCGGATGTTCATGTCCTTCGGCATTCAGCTGAAATAGAACAGCGCCGATGCCATATTCCGAAGCATCACATTGAATAAAAAAGGGTTTGGAAAAATCTGCGTGGCGTAACACCGGTGCGGAAGTTAAGGCCCTCTTTAAGTTTTCAAATGCCTCCTTTGCCTTTTCCGTAATTACGAATTTGGGTGATTTCTTCAGGGTATCAGTAAGGGGAGCTGAAAGTGACGCGAAGTCTTTAATAAATCTTCGGTACCATCCTGCTGTACCCAGAAAACTTCTCACTTCCCTAGCACTTTTGGGAATTCTAATTTTTCGAATTGCTTCTACTTTTTCGGGGTCAGTACGCAACATGCCTTCTCCAATAATAAAACCCAAATATCTCAACTGACGAAAACAAAATTTTGACTTGGTTAACCCGATTGTTAAATTCGCTCGGTCAAGGCAATCGGCTACTTCATTCAATAGACGAAGATGCTCGTCGAAATCACTTGAAATAATCAACAGGTCGTCCAGGTACACAAAGACATTCTCCTTGAGTCGTTGAGGAATGACTTTGTCCATCAGTCGACATAACCTTTGTGCAGCATTACACAATCCAAACGGCATCACACGGAATTGATACAATGGACGACCTGGGACCGTAAAAGCGGTGTACGGCTTGCTTTCTTCGTCTAATTCGATTTGCCAGAACGCATATTTAAGATCCACGCTGCTAATGTAATGAGTTTCATCAATGCGACTTAGTATTCCTTCAATGTTTTGCAGGGGGTATGCGTCCTTGACCGTGAGCTTATTTAACTTTCGAGCATCCAGACAGAAACGATTTTTTCCGGGCTTTCGTACGATAGTTGTACGATTGCTCCAAGGGCTTTCACTTTCCTCAATAACATTAAGTGCTAACATATTATCGACTTCTTGGTACGTGATAGCTTGAACCGCTGGAGACATTGGATAGTGGCGGTCTTTAACCGGTTCCGCACCTTCCACGAGCTTAATCGAATGCTTTTCTAAACTAGTACAACCTAGCCCATTTTCTTCAAAGGTCTTGAATTTTTTTACTATGCATTTTAATCGATTCTCTTGATCATTTGTTAACTCGTGAGGGTTGAGTTTGTAGTCGGGACCCGTATCAGTCATATCCCTGAAAACTTTTTCTATATTAATTTCAGCAGCTCCTATCACATCAGGGGCTAATTCGAATGTTCGCCAGAAGTCTATTCCAAGATATAGTTCTTGTTCCAATTGAGGACATAGATACAGTGTCATAAATTTTTCCTGCTCTTGGTATTTTATGATGGCTTTAAATTTTCCTAAAACATTATACTGTGTACCTCCGGCGGTGGTTACCCTGCTGGACATTGGTATAATTGGAATGCCAAGTTCTTCTATTATCTCTCGGCAATTTTTCCCTAACATAGTAACCGAAGCGCCGGTGTCTAGGAGCCCATTCATGATTTTTCCTTGCATACTGATTTCCGAGAAAACTCTGGGATCTGAGGCAATACCAGTTACTCTCGAAATCGTTTCTATCAAATATCTTCGCTGCTCACGCCACTTCTTGGATTTTTGTCTCAATTCAATAATTTTTTTCGGGATTACAGTAAACTCTGAGTTAAAAATTCTCTCCTTGACCTTAGCATAATTTCTTTGGCGATCTTCTAATGGAATGTAATGCCTCTGACCTGCAGAAAAATTTTTCGATTCTACACTACTCTTATCTCTAAATATATTATCGTTGTTTTTTATTAAAATTCGGACGTTTTTGGGTGCTAATTCTTCCGATTCACAGGGTTCTCTGACGGGTGTGTTTCCCCTGTCACTTCCACACCCCTTCGGGAGTTTCCCTGTTGACAGACAGGACACTTTGGGGTTACTGTGTCCGGCTTCCCACACCTATAGCAGAACAATTTCCGGACTTCTACTGGACAGTCCATAAAAACATGCCCCTTTTCTCGACAGTTCCAGCAGATAATTGGGACTCTAATTTGGCTTTGTATCCGGATAGCTGACAGCTCTTCACCAATATTCTCCTCCGGTACTTCTACAGGCTTTTCATAAATTTCATCATATATTTCATTTACTTGGCGGATAGGTCGCTGGGGGAACGTTACAGCTCTATTTTCGCGCCTAGGGAAATTTCTCTCGGCTTCAATACATTCTATTCGTAGCTGTTCAACCGACGAAATGGTCATCTGATATACATGTCGTTTTATATCTTCACGTATATTTCCCCTTAGGATCTTAATCATTTCGTACTCGTAAATAGGTTGAAGTAATCTAGATCGCAAAATTCCCATCTCGTGAAAATAACTATTGATGCTTTCATTTGGCCTTTGTTTCCTTTCTAACAAATCCCTGAGTATGTCGAATTTGGATTGTGGGGTTTGATACTGGCTTATCAGCGCTTCTTTAAGACCCACCCAATCGGTGTAAACATTACTTTGTCTATGCAGCCAATACCATTCTCTGGCTTGACCAGAAACCAGAAAGGCGAAATCCCTCAACACTTCAGACCATGGAATGTTATATTGAGCCTGCATGATCTCTAACCGCTTAATAAAATCCATAACTCTTAAGCCTTTCGGGTCACCACTGAAATTTAAACCAAGTTTATCAACTCGTATTCCTAGTGGTTCCACTCTAAACGTATTCGTTATCGGGCCAGTAAATTGATCTGATAATGGAGTTTGACTGGCACTCGGAAATTGGATAATTGGTGGCATATTCCTATTTACTGCGTCATTATTATTGTTTGACGTCGGATTAGCATTACTATTTGTAATAGAATTAGAGGCTACTGTGGCCGTTGGGGGGTACAATTAATTGTTTACGCACAGTGTCGGATAGTTCTCTCATGCCTTTTGATAAAGAATCTATCATTTTCTTCACATCAGATATTTCTGTTTCGACCATTTTTTTAACTTTATCTTCCAATGACTTCTGGACAGACGCTGCTTCATCTTGTACTAGTCCATGTAAGTCGGAAGTAGTTGGACCATTATTATTCAAATTATCACTCACTGTTGGCACATGATTGGTATTCTGATCTCTTCGCATTATCGTGTCTGCTAGATCGATAAATTGCAAAGCACTCATATTCCTATCCTCATTCGCCATTTCGTCCGACCCTATTCGTCTTTGCTTACTCTGCTCTGGAAAATAAGTCGATCGGTTTAGGTCAAAATTTTCGGGTCTGCCTCTCTTATTTCTTTTACTATTGCGGGTATTGTAGATCATGACCTATACCCAAAATTTATCTTCTCATTTGCTATCAATTGAATCTCGGACGAAACCTTTTCTTGTAAGTAAGTTTTAAATTCAGTTAACCTTTTTTTCAAATATGAAACATCGGCAAAACAAATACTTTTTATAAATACATTCGATTACAATTACACATACAAATTTTCAAATTTGACAATTACAACATAGATCTACGGGGGAAGTGTAATTTTCAGAAGCAGTGTGTGTGTGGTTTTTTTTTTTTTTTTTTTATTTATTTTATTTTTTTTTTTTTTTTTTTTTTTTTTTTTTTTTTTTTTTTTTTTTTTTTTTTACTGTTTTTAATAATAATTTTAGTGCCCTTTATGAGGTGTATGACTTTTCCTTTAGACATTCTTATTCTTCTCATAAATTATAGTGCTTCGTTAACTTCGGACCCATGACATATCTATTACATTTTATAAATGAAAGCTCAGGGTTTTTATATGCAATACTTGGATTTTTGCATCTCTCAGATCAAAATCGCTATTGCTGCTACTCGAAGTACTTATTCCCGTCTATAATTTATTTGGGTTATTTCACAAAAACAAATTTTAACAGTAGGATTCTCAATACAAATTGTTTTATTCCAGCTCGGAATTACAAGCTATTGATTACACCCTACTTAGAACAGTGGAGAAAACGTTCCCATAATATATTTGATATAGTAATATCGCACTTCGTAACCCATCTCTCTAAAGTTCGGATGCATACTAATATCACAGAATATTATTTGTCAAAAACATTTTCTTTTGTCTATTTAAAATCTACTAGCATTCTATGGCTGTGTGCGTCGATATTATTGCACAGAGTTACTAACCTAATATCACAGTTTACAACGGCCATGTTTGAGTCGCCATTTTTTACAGTGGTATTAGGTACAATAAAGCTTTATTTTAGAATATTGGGCGCCATCTCTGTTATGTGTGCATATGCTCGGCATACGATTAGGCCATCCGACTGTCACAGAGACTTCCAGGGCTAGGGATCTCAACCCGCCAATCGAATCCAACACACTAACATTGAAAGGGGACTTTACTACAATTGCTCTACTCTACGATATACAAAATAGGAGTCATCATACAGGGATCTCGGTGGATCGATCCCACACTCGCCCACCCTACCTGGATCCAGTATTTCCATTTCTTGCGTTTCTCTGAATCCCCTTAAACCACACGCTTCGAATCACACACTTACTTCATACCACCTTCCCCCCAAGTTATACAAATTTAGCAACACATATTAGTATCTACTGTTTACAAAAGAATCATTTTTAATTTTATTAAAAAAAATAAGTTAGCTTTAAATATTTTCTTAATTTTTTTCTCTACTATTTTTTTTTCTTACACTAAAATTGACAAACTGTATGGTATAAAAAAAAACAAATTAAGAATAATACCGGGCTTTCTTAAATCTATGGCTTTAATTACTCGGTAGAAACCAATATATTATCCTTTGCCTTGCTTTTCCCGCGCAATATTCACGCGTCTATACGAAATTACTAGCCACCTAAAAGAGCTCTCTTAACTGGCCTAATTGCCGCTAAAATTCCACGGCCTAAACTATCAGATCGAATCACAAGGACTCAAGATAATTTTACTGTAACACCTCCTAGCCTTTGAAAATAAACGCGGTATTTTTCCCTTACAGATTGATTATTACTTAAATCCTAAGAACTATAACCTATCTTATTACCAAATTTTTATACTGAATATTATAATTTTTTTTTCTCGAAATTTATGATTATTAACTCTTTTTTTCTTTTCTTTTAGTTCCAAAAAAGGAGACAGCAAACTTTATGGACGTCACATATATATAAATATATCAAGGACAACACAACGGTAAGACACCTTTTACCTGAGCAGTGATTTATAACGTTATTGATTAATTCTTCTTATCTCCCCTTCCAGTTTACGCTTCTTTCCGGAGGAAACAGATTTTGAACGCCAGGCAAACCCTCAAATGAAGCTGGACTTGTTGACTGGTCCTTTTACACTGCCGGCGTTCTGGGCGGGATCAATAACAGGCACAGCAAAAAGCTCAAAGTTGCAGCTGGCCAGTTTACAATTCAAATCTCCACACCCTCAATGTAACTTTTTTTGGCTTTTTTCTCCTGTGGACAACTTGCCACTACCTTGCGTTACCAAAAAGAAAAGGCAATTTCCCGCCGTTGTGCTGACCAAAACCGGACAATTTTCGGTGCTTCCAAAAAAGCTTGATACACCACCGGAATATTCCTGTTGGAGCAACACACATCACATATAACAACACATTACTCAACAAACCATTGTTACAAACTACTTACACAATAAAAAAAAATCGCAACACACAAATTAAATTTTTCCACTTCTGCACTGCTCTCTAGCTAAGTTTCACCGGTAACGTCTTATTCTTAACTTTGGCTTTTCTTATGCTCGCAGCCTTTTATACCCCTCTTCTCAGTGAATCCCGCCAGACGCTCATTTTCCACGAAACACCATTTTCCTAAGCCATTTTCAATTTTCATTCCTTTTTCTTTTCAACTGTCAATAGCCATTTTTTTATTCTATTGTGAATTCTCATTTCAGCTCACCCCGGAGTAGTAGTAGGTTCCCACCTACTCAGCAATCATAGGGCTGCCTAGTCACTTCGTAGCCTGAGTCACCCTGTCATTCACTACCTTTATAATACTCTTTAACTCAACCCTGTTCGAGCCTAATTTCGTACGTAGCGAACCCTAACAAACCATTTCCGGCATTTTGATCCCATCGCCACCCAGACTACACACCCCGCAGAAATTACAAGCAAATTGAAATCTCGAAGCATCCTCACCATCCTCACTAAAAACCCAAGAAAACTGAGCAAATCCATTTGAGGACCAATTATGGGATGCACTACCAATAGAATTGGGATAATTTCTGCGGTGGTTGTGGACAGGTTTTGCCAAAAAAACCCGGCCCCATATATTTGTTGCCTTTTTGCGCCGAATGTGAACGGCCTGCAACAAGGTAACAGATATAGCTGACCGAAGTATTCCGTTTTCATGTAATGCAGAAGGGAATCGAACATTTATATCCAATTTTATGCGAAATCATAAATTCCGATAAATTACATATTCATGTCAGATTTCTGATTAAGAGAAATATTTAGATGTAGCAAGTTGTAAAGAATCGCCGACTTGTTTCGCAAGTTATGACATATATAAGTACAAATTGTGACCCTTTGTGGGTAAGGTTGGCAGATGTATATCATCTGCACAACATATCTTGTGTTAGCTAAAATGTTTGTATGTAGGAAATTTGAGGAGATGGATGGATTGATTTGGATGCTTATTTCGATTTCTTTGAGCATTTTGGTTTTCAAAATCTTGAACCCTATGTGGGCAAGGTACCAAAAGATATGGTGCGATCTCTACCATCTTTATAATAGATCTTGTGTTGACGGAAATATTGAGATGTATCAAGTATGAATGAAATCGTATGCTTTTTTGCGTTGTAAGAGCTTCATGGTGAAGGTACCAGAAGGAGTGGACCGATATGTCCCATCTTCACATCCCATCTGATTAAATATTGTGTGTAATAACGTGTGTAATTTAAAGAATACCAAATGCTTACATCCGAGTTTATGAACTTTTTGGTTATTCAAAATTTAACCCTTTGTGGGGGAGGTGCCATTAGGAATGGTTCGATCTCTACCATCTTTATAACAGATCTTGGGTTGATGTAAATATTGTTGTGTTAAGTCTGAATGGAATCAGATTTTCTGTGCAGTGAATTTAAAAATGTTGACATTTTGTGGGGGAAGTACCGGAAGGAGTGGACCGATATTACCCTTCTCCGAACTTGATCTAAGTTAGAGAATAATATTACAATATACCAAGTTTGGATCAAATCGGATACTCCCTTCGCGAGCCAGACAGGAGGACGGATAAAGCTAGATCGACCCCAAATGTCCTGAAACGTTATGAAACCGTTATTTCGATGAGGCACGTTTTGGTCGTATCAGCTATATGGCTGAGGGTATAACTAGCCATATGGCTAAGGGTACAATAAATAAGGAAATATATACAACAATTTGTGTTCGTAACAATGGCTAAGTACACATTGTGCCTGGCAATCAAAAGATCCGTCAGTTCAAAATTTCATAAAGGGCGAGATGGATATATTGATCTTCTGCGTACAATTTGATCTCTCTTTCAGTAATAATTTGAAATAATTGGGATAGATTTGGCTAGGCTAGACATGGGGTCCTATCCCAAATTTTCTTATTTTCTTTTTCTCTCTTATATATCTCTCATATCATAGGAGAGATATAGAAGCGAGAAGGAGTAGAAAAGATTTATAGAGGGAGGTGTAGTTGGGAGGGTGGTGGTTGTTTATTTGTTAATGATTTATATCTCCCACCTGCCAAATAGCTTATATCTCTTGTTGGATAACATGGGACGACATGCCTACAATAGTCAGGAACACTATACTGAAGTGATCAGTCAGCATGCCCACCACGATTCTTAGATCAGACCTACTATGTTATAGAAGGGAGCTCGTTCTTCTCCTCGATATTACCGGCCTTTTAGCTTTGGATACCCAAACGTTTTTCAAATAAATAAGCAGTTAAGTTCAGCCGCGGCGAATATCCTCACAATTTCGAAAGTAAGATAACGGGGTTTTAGTGGTTTTTAGAATTGGTCGGTAGCTGTGGCCTACTTTATAGTAATGAATATTTTTGTAAAGATGTTTTTAATTTACATCCTATTTATTTTTAGGTAGTGATATAAGAACTCAATGCGCAAAACACATTTTATATTTTGATGGAGAAGTTTTGTTTTATACATTATTTTATAAAATATAATTACTATAACATTAAAATATGGTATGACATTTACAGGTACTTTATTATATGAGAAGTTATTGAAGGAATAGTTAAAAAACCAAACAAGATTCATAATTAAAAAAAGAAAAACTTTTACTAATCTGTGGAATTTTATCCACAAAATTTACAAAGCAAATTTTCCTACAAAATTCTACTAATTCACATAACAGCTTCAGTTTTTTTTAGGACTTGTTGTACTTGTAACAGGTTTATTAGTTTTACTTTTTAAACATTCATTGGGATGCGCTTTCCTACGATGATGATATAAATTAGAACTCATTCGATATGTTTTCGGACAATGGGGACATTGATACAAATTTTTGCCCTCGTGCGATGCCATATGTTCCCGCAAAACTTTGGGAAGTTTAAAAGACTTGTCACAAATTGTGCACTTGTGTTTACGTTCGAGAATATGCACTAATCGCTTATGACTATTTAAAGCTGTTTCGGATTGGTATTTTTTACCGCACTCGCTACAAATGTGTGTGGTTGATCCATCGTTATGACGAAACTGTTTGTGGCGTTTAAGACTTGTATGAGAATAAAGCTGGACATTACATTGATCACATGGCCACTTAGGTTTCTCAACACCCTGATGCTCCAATAGATGTTGTTTGAGAGCGTATATGCCGTGTATAGTCTTACCACACAGCTCGCAAACTTTGTCGACGTTATGCACCAGATTTTCGTGTACTTTTTTACGTTGTTCCGTCGAAAATCCCTTGCCACATATGCTACAGGCGTACTCACGTTCGGTCTTGTGCACATCCATGTGAATACGCAACTTTGTTTTGTTCGGGAAACATTTTTGACATACACCACATTCAAATGGTCTAATTTTTCCCCTTTCGGAATGTAAGTCACGCATATGTTTGGCCAAGTTGCGACTATTTGTGCTGCATTTGCCACAAACTTTACACTTAAATGTGCTGGGATCAAGATGTAGCTGTATGTGTTCATAGACATCACACCGCTTGGAAAATTTGCGTTCGCAGCAAGTAATATAGCATTTCTGACCCGGATGGTGTATACGAAAATGTGTTCGCAGCAGTCCAAATGTGGTTGTAGTAATGGAACATATTACACATTCCAATGATGGTTTCCACTTGGCAATTATTTCATCTATATTCAATACTTCACTTGAATTAGAATCTTCTGCGCCGTGCTCTATGTTTTCTTTTTCAATTTTCCGATTTTGCTTTTCTGTTTTTGAGTTTGTACCTTTCCTGAGACTCTGTTTTCTCTTTAATTGCAGTGACACTTTATCGTCATCTATTCCTAGGCAATATTCATCTTCTTTAGAGTCATCCATTTGCCCTTCATTTGCTGTGCCATTTTCAATTGTTTGACTGTCCAAGTTGTTTTCTTCCAGGTCATTTTCACATTCATCATTTAGAGCCTCTCTTGCAATTTCCCTAAGACTTTCTTGTAAATCCTTATGTGCATTTTGTATGACATTTTGGAATTCGTAGAAATCATTTATTGTATTCCAGCATGCAAGACAAACAACATTGGATTCTTTGTCATCCTCCGCATTTAAAAGCTATCAATTATAATAACAGATTATTTGGCAAGTTACTAAAGTAATAAGGCCCATAGGAACATACCACTGGATCGAAGTATTTAAATGTAATATCATAAAAGGCTGTTTCTCCACCACTTTTATTGAACAACTCTTTATACGCCGAAGATAAAGTAACACATAGACAGCAAAATTTTTCCTCGGACATGTTTTTTTATTTAGATTTCTTAAATATAATTGACTTTGTTGAGATTAATAAATAAATTTTACTGTAAAAATTAAATTGGGTTAAAACTAAACATTACTGCGCATGTTTGTTTTGCAGTGAAGGGGTGGGAATATTATTGTAAACATAACATTTTCCATTTAAGGGTTACATTGTAACGTCGGAGTAATCCTAAGTAGGTCAAACATTGTCATCAACATAGTTTGCTCATTCATGTGCTAATCTTTTCCAGCTGGCTAAGAAAAGCAGTATGAAAGCTAAATAACTCTCATGGAAGAGTATAGCATACATACTCCACCACTCTGTGCTTCAAGATCTTGTATATTTATGCGTTTATATGCAGCATACAAAAGGGGATGGGATATATTTATCTTTATTTGAATATCGATTATACTTCATATCAGAACTAGTCTTAATCCATTTCCGATTAAAGATATGGGTATTATGGTATTATTTGGGTATTACAATTGCGTGTGTTTGTAGAAGAAAGTTTTAAACCCCGTCGAAAGATAGAACATCATATGAATATCTTTAGGTTCTTTATATGATAAAAACAAGTAAAAAGCTGTATGTTAGGCTGGCCCGAACATTGAATAACCTCCACCATTGGCAATTTCCAAAAAAAAAAAAATAAACCGTTAAAAATTCTATTAAAATCTTAAAAATACCAAATGTAGTCGTTATATTAGGGTCTATACGACAACGTGGACATGCATAGGCAAATTTTGTCATAAGCCATTACAATATTCAAATGCGAAACTTAAAAAAACAAGATACGGAATATACGGAGGTATCTTTATGGGCACTATAGGAGATATATTATATGGGGACTATACCAAACCGTGGAC